CCCAGAAGTCATATATCCGAAAGAAATGTGGCCATGTTATCCACCAAATGTGTCTTCTTCCAGATTCCAGCAAGCTTAGAACCAAAATTATGTACAAGTCTGAGCTGAAAGCCCTATGTGTCCTGTACAAACTAAGCACTGATGGTTTAAAAGACAAGCTCATTAAACGTGTATATGACTACATCAGGTCAAATCCAAGTCCAACACTTCCATGCCCGGGCTGTGAGACACAACAGAATTCTCCAGCAACACGAATATATTGCCATATTTGCAACCAGTTTATACTGCCTTCCACTGCAACAAGTAGGTTTAACTGTGGACATCTTGTTCATTTGCTATGTGCTGAAGGGAGACAAATCTGTCCAATTTGTCAAGATCTAGTGGAAGATGTAGTAAATGAATCAAGCAAGAAAGCCAAAGCTTGTTTCACAAAGCCAGACAGTACTTCCAGGTTAAGACCAAAAAATAATGGTGGTGGTGGTTCTGCTGAATGTGATTTGGATGACGATGATGATGATGATGACACACTAACCATCAATCCAGATCAAGAAGACACCCTCACCAAGTATTATGGAGAGCTGGCAGTCAAAGCTAAACAAAACAAAGAACAAAGGGGTTCTTTACCTCGCACAAAAATTATCAAGATAAATGATTAAGAAAATGCAAACAATATGCAATTAATCTAATAAATTGTTTTATAATCATTGCGCCGCTATGCAGGCTTGAGAACAGAGTTGTTGTAAAGTTCAAGTCAAGTTAAGTTATTGTCAGAAGTTAGTTATTGAATATGTACTTATTAGTATAGCTAGTGTAAATAAACTGGGGGGATATAGTATTGTAGTGTAAAACCTAAGCTTGTATTTAGTCATTTAAAATGGATGTTCTTATCCACTCAACTTTTAAAATAACGTAATTATTATAATAAAATAGTTTATAACTCACGTGGAGAAAACAATTTGGAATCAAATTTATGTAAGATAAGCTTATTTAAGCTTAATACAAAGCAAAGTTACTTGACGCTACTTTTTGCTTACCTGAGCCATCAATGATGCCTCCATTTGAGAATCAACTTGTAACCCAGATATTTTCCACTGAACCTTTCTATGGTTAAAGTAATCGTAATAAAGTATCTAGAAATCAAACTTCGTTCACGTACACGTGTACGAGAACACATACGTACACGGGTTTGTACTGATTTCAAGACACTACGAAGCAGACCTTGTGTTGAAGTGTTTGGACTACGTAGGCCCAGAACGGCGTTAATAAATAGCCTGCATTAGCCAACTAAACCTCAGGTATCTAATAAGCATAGTTCTTGGCTTTTCTTTTAAGACTGGTAATCGTAATGAAAGATTTTTTGACTTGGCGTAGACATTGAGGATGGCAAAACCGCCATTTTCTTCAGCCTTATTGATCCACTTGAAGTCGACAAAAGCTTACCCATTTTTTGACAAAYTYATTTCAAATTTACAGATTTAAAAGAAGTTGCTTCCTAGATTCCTTTCACTTGAAAATCCATTCAAATCGATATTTTTTCATTAGATTCTCTCTGGATGATGGTAAGTGGAAGTCTTTGTGACCGCGAACTACGATTCATGTAGTTTACCACTGTGCAGAAGTGTTTAAGCTACGCAGAAGGCTTTTWAATCTATAACTTGCTTGATTTAAACGACCTTCCCACATGATGTCTAATAGGCCATATAGTTCTTATCTAG